CGATAGCTTCATTCTAGTATCGCATTCCCAATGGCGACGTGTCCGCTTACGTCTCAGCTGGGACCTGACCGGAATGACTACCTCTGTGATCAACCAGCCTGGTTGCACCATTTTCCAGCTCCGCCTTGTCGACAACTATTTCACCGGATCTCAAGGTCCATATGGGAAGACCAATGCTCAAGCCCGTCCGAACCAAAATCAGAGGAAGAAGGCATTCCCTCCCTTAGGCACTGTTCCCAAGCTATCCCTCTCCTCCACAACGTGGACAGAACCCAAGAGACTGCATCCATATTTTTGTTGTAGTTGGCTGCCCCCACAACGCCCTTGCTATAGTGAATGCCTGCATGATGCGAACGAGTTGGTGGCCCAGATGATACCTAGATTATAGTTGAACCAAATTGTGAATCAGTTCGGTAAATTTATCGCAGAGCCGTGGCCGCTCTTCCTCATTGTCCTCCAACTTGCTCAACTGTTTGTTGATCTCGTCGAGGAGTCTTTCCAGCTCTTGCTCAATGTCCTCGAGAACCTCTAATTGCAGCTCAGCTTTCGACTGATCAAAGGCTACGCACCAGGTGTACCAGGCCATGTACTGATCCAGGTTCTCAACATCCCTGCCGAATTTGGCAAGATCCGCCGGCTTGGGACGATTCCAGTATTGACGTTCCAGGCCAGCTATCAGCAAATTCAGAAATGATTGTATCTGAGTCTCGGCGTCGACATCGGCATTACTAGTATCAAACTGCCGGACAAACTTTCCGAATTCAGCAAACATTTGCAGCGACTTTTTATGCTCAGCCAAGGCTGAGCCGAGCTTAAGGCTGCACTGATGGAGATGCTGAACCTTCGCATGTATAGTCCTCAGCTTGCTCTCGATGATGTCATCCATTGCGTTGGCCGGATTCCTACCGACTGTTCGGTGCTCCCTTGTGAGGAGATGGTTGTGGTTAGCATGGAATACCAGTTGAGGTCTTCGACTTGGTAGAGAGGGCTTACGGAATGCTTTCTGCATTTGTCGATGGTTCCAATGACAGTCAGGTGGTTGCCGATTGTCTTGTTACGTGTGACAAACTTCAAGTTGGCTTGTCTGACGCGCTGGAGTTAGTTCAATTGCTGCTGTGACTCCGGGTTCAGGCAGTGCGTAACTACGAAAAAATGATAAAATTGATACTTGCCTGAGAATCGGATATCGTGATTCCTTTGCCCCGGCGGTTTTATTATCGTTGCTTGATCGACGTTTATGTTGGCGGTGGCACGGGCAGTTTCCAGGTCGCGAAGGGTTGGGCCAGTCGAACTCATTTGGTTGCCTGTTGGAGGAACTTGGAAGGAAAAACATTATTATATGTGGTGGAAATATCATTCTGGATCACCCCCGTGAGTAGAAAGCTAACTCTGTTGGCAGAATAAGGCTGACCTTTCATCCGGACCTCGCTGAGCTTAGAATACAGTAAATGCCACCTGTCATAACTTCAATAGTTCAGTCTACTGTACCTTTCTTTTATGTGTGGACATCGTTAAATATCCCTAAACAAAGCCCCAAGAACAAAACTGCTGTGTTGAGGCGGCTATTCCATGACATTGCCGCAAAAAAGCGGCACCATTCAAGTTGCCTACCCACCAACATCAAGGCCATCATAAACCTGCTTTCCAACCTGGTCATCTAAAGCGGAGATCCAAGCATATTCATTCAGAATAGCTTGGGCATCCTTCCATTTCCTCACCCGGCACATTGTGGCGCACTTTCGCAAAGCCGCTGTCAACCATGCATCTGTCGAAAGGTCCCAAACCGAAACAGCACCAACAAAATACAACCAGAACATCATTTGCGGCGCCAGGTTCCCGGTAGCCATGATACACGTCTTGTAGGCATCAGGAAACTGCTTATACAGAGGCCGGACGTCCTGCCACTGCAGGAAGACATGGTAGCAAAAGACGAGGAGCCCTTGTCTCACCACCTCGCCAACCGACTTCTCTGCAAATCTCATGCGAAGGAGGCGGTATGTCACGGCTACCATTGTGTCGTGGACTAGTTCCGGCCGGAGCAATCGGTGCGTCTGGCGACCTACGTCAACAAGCAAGCAGAAGCGCCGAATCACCCTCCAGGCAGTCGCTAGATCATCGTCGTGCACGGGCAGTGAAGTTCCCTCCCTTGAGATCATGTCATCATTCAGGATCAACTTCTCCGGATATGGTGGCACGTTGTGAGCGTCAAATAAGACCGGATCCTGACCGCCAAGCAGTGCGATGCTCAGGTCGCATCTTCAAAGAAGGTAAGCAATGAATCCAGCAAAAGCTCTCGTTACCGATAGGCACTAACCTCAGCATCTCGGTCCAAGCTCCCGTGCCCTTCACAGCCTCGACACCGCCCCTGATCCTCACCATCTCCGCCAAGCCGAGCATGTGCCTCCTCGCCTCCATCGCATAGCCGTTGAAGTGCGCGGCGCTCGCCAGCTTGACTACGGTGGCGATGGTAAAATCAGACAATTTCTCCCGGTCGTTTCCATCCCCGCGAAGACGCTGCCGGAGGAGCGCGACACCCCTCTGGAAGTGCAGCTGCGCCGCGGTATTCACCCCGTCGGGCCGCCGGCGCAACGCACGGTCAATGAAGCACTCGACCGCGTAGGTGGTGATATGCAGCAGGGGTGCGTCCTGGGCTATGGGGAAGAGGCGGTCCTTGCCTGACCCCGACGTGGGGTAGTAGGCTACGAGGGAGAGCAAGGGAAAGATGATGCGGGTTGCAAAGGTTGAGACTGGTTGGAGTGGTTGGATTAGTCGGGGCGGATGGACGGCTACTAGTGACGGTTGACGGACATTTCACCACATTGACAATCATCTCGGACTCTACCTTGTCCGCGAACTCGATAAAGGAGAAGTCGGTGCCCACTCGACGTGGGATGGGGGCCGCGTAGCGAGATAGGAGGTCCTGCCTAATGTCTTCGGTACTGAGCGGTATGGCATGGGTGCGATATGCCGGGGCCGGTGGGTTCTCATGCTGCTCCCGCCGCAGTTGACGTTTGCTCGGCCGGGTCCTGTTCTGCTTTTTGCCGCGCATTACGTGGCTGCGGATCAGCCTGCGCGTGGCCGCATCGGCTTTGTCAGCATTGAACGATACGATAAAGGGCATCATGATGACGAGACTGGCATGGTGTGCACCGGCAACGCGGACGAGTTCAATTTCATTTTCCAAAAAGAGGTATGACCCGCGAGAACGCAAGAAGTTGAAATAAGCTCCGTGTTTCGACAGGGTTCGACGTATGCTGACAAACCGCACATGGCGAACGCCAAGACTCAGTTTTGTTTGCCGTTTGGGGTTTAGGCTCAGCCGCGACTTAGACGGCTGCTGGTTTCCCAAAATGGAGAGCAGCCATGAGATCCAGGAGAAGCTTCATCTATATATGCGTGCGTCCAGAGCGATGGAAGACATGGAACTACCCAACTACGCAACTCCTTGATCCAAGCACTCACAACTCATCCATCTAGGCACTCACAACTCGATCATCTAGGTTCTAACGCTACACAACTGAGTGACAACTCGCTCATCTTGCATCCCATCACCAATACACCACCCACGCTCCATGGCTTACAAGACCAAGTCCGTCCTTGTCACAGGCTGCTCTGCCGGCGGCATAGGCCAAGCCATTGCCTACGCCTTCCATCAAAAGGGCTACCACGTCTTCGCCACCGCCCGAACGCCGTCGAAAATCCCATCGACTCTGTCCAGCGCGCCCAACGTCACCGTTCTCGAGCTCGATGTTTTGTCCTCGGACTCCATTGCCGAGGCGGTTCAGAGCGTCTCCGCCAAAACCGGTGGCCGGCTAGACGTCCTCGTCAACAACGCGGGACAAGCCTCGGTCATGCCTGCGCTCGACGTGGACATTGACGAAGCCAAAAAGATCTTCGACCTCAATTTCTGGGCCCCTCTGGCCATGCTGCAGGCTTTTGCGCCGCTGTTGATCGAGGCACGGGGGTGTCTCGTGAATAACACTAGCGCAAGTGCCGTGTGTCCCTTTCCCTTGATGAGTGAGTCTCTCCTCTCTTGGCATCAGCGCTTGGGCGTGTGCTAATTAACCCTGGGGAAAGGCGTCTACAACGCCTCCAAGGCCGCCCTGGCAACGGCAAGCGAGACTTGGCGCCACGAGCTCACTCCCTTTGGCGTACGGACCATAACCCTCATCACCATGGGCGTCAACACGGGTTCGTTTACCAGGCCTGGGAGAAAGCCCACTGTCCTGCCGGAGTCGTCGCGGTATGCCGCTATCGGAGATTTTGTCCTCGGCATCCAAGATGGGAGGATGCAGAAGGGGGCCATCTCGCCGTCGGAATTCGCTGCCAAGGTCGTCAGCGAGGTGGAAAAGGGTGCATATGGGACTGTTTGGGCTGGCACGCAGGCTTTTATCGGTCGGCTGATGTTTTGGCTGTCGCCTCAACCTGTGTTGGTGAGTAACTCCTCTCAAGTTCCCTGTCTCTTGTGTCGCAGACTCGCATCTGGGAATTGATGCTGACCTGAAGAAGGACATGCTTGTCCAGAGCATCGTTCCGTTTGCAAAGGAGATGGCCAAGGCTAGAAAGAAAGCGGATTGATAAGATGAGACACAGCCTTGCTTGGAATTAACGTCGGTCTGCTTGTGTTTTCGATGTGGCTTCTCGTCAGATGTAAGATAGCCAAGGTGTGCTTCGCAAGGAGACAACAGGATAATGCGAGAATCCCAAGTTTCTGATGAACACCGTCGGCCCACAACACCGTGACGAGTCCAGTCACCTCGCCTGTTCCCAGACGCTGCCGAAGACATCAAACGCGCCCCATTTTGGGGGAGTCTGATGGTTTAAGAAGTTGCTTGGGGCTTGCGCGTACAGGACCTTGCCTATGAAGGTGGGCAAAAGAAGAGAAAGTTGGGTCCCAACAGTTGAATTGATCGGTATTGGACAGGGTTAGGGTCCAGTTTGTCCGCTCTTACTAGCGATGCTCAGTGAGGCTTGGCACAACCTCATTTGCTGGGCCCTCCACTGTGGGGCTATGGGGCCGGATCACTCCACCCGAACTCTGCTGGTCGGTCGTCGCACGTCCAGACGCATCTACAAACCCCCAAAGCTCATGGCGCTCGTTGCACAATTGCGCATCCTAGTGCTTGAGGGTCAATGAAGCGGCTTCTTTCTCACCATCACAGTCCATGCTCGAAACATATGGCTGTAGGCGTTCATAGAGCAGTGGGCCAAGGCGGATACAGGGCAAAGTTTGCCTAGTACAGTCTAACCTGCACATAACAATTAGAGGCATAACGATTACCTAACTTTGACGATCAAAATCGTGAGCCCATCGCTATATATATGGGGAATTGCAATTACCTGTCTATTAAGATAATCGTTAAGGATTTCTGCTGAGTAATGCATACAAGTCGTTATAGTCAGTGGGATCTTAGGACCCCTTACTGCTCTGAAAAGGTACGTTGGTACCCCCTGAGACAGTATTTTAGTGGTTGAGGAGGGCGTTATGCCCCACAAATTCCCTTCTTGGGCAAACTGTGGGTACCTCTGGATAACGATAACCTGGGATCTCTACGATCAAGATCTTGAACCCCGGCCAATCGTTATGTGCAGGTTAGACTGTATTTCGCCTGGCAGACAATGCCTCCAATGCCTCCACTGTCGCTTAGGATCCCAATTTTACGACAATGGAGCCGGGCAATGCAACCTTCCCTTTTAAAAGGGGTTCTCTTCCCCACAACAGTCGAGATTCTTCATCTGCCAGTTGCCCTTTCAGCCCAACCCCCCCCCCAAACAAACCCGGCTTTTGCCATCATTGCAGGTTCTGCGTCTTGTTTAACCTCGGGCAGCATGCACCTTTCTGCCCGGGCAGCCGGGTCCGCTGTGGCCTTGCTAGTCTGCCTTGGGCGCCTCGTCGACGCTGCAGGCGTGCTGGAGTTCGACTTGGTGTTTCCACGCATGAACGAGACATATGCGCCCACGGACTCATTTCCTGTCATCTTTGCTTTGCAGAATGCACAGCTCGCGCAGTACCTGACTCCTTCGTTCAATTACTATATTTCGCACCTGGCCTCGCCTGAACCTGAGCTGGGCAACCCGTACGACGGCGTAGTCCACGGGAGACACAACCTCACGTACCTGAGGTGGACAACGAACTGGACAAGCCTGAACGAGCCGTATTTTGTATACACTTACTTCAACAACTTTACGACCCAAGGGCGGTGGCGGATGTTATGGTCGGCGACGTGGTATAGTTGCAACGTGGACGCCTTGGGCAAACCGGGGACTGATGATTATTACAACATCCCCGTCATCTTCAACACATCTGAAAAAGGGGGAAGGTCGTTCGAATTTACCATTGCAGATGGCGGGCAGGCGTTTGATCTTGTCGCTGCCACAGCCAACAACGCTACCTGCCTCTCCAAGGAATATGGAGTAGCCATCAACGTCACGGACCGGATGATGGACATTCCAGACATAACCACTCCGGACTGGCACGGCGGTGATTCGTGCATAGTGTTGGAATCCTCTCTCCCAATGCCGACGCCAACCCCTTGCCGGGTTGCCATCGACTCGGCGGTTGCCGCAAGCATGTCTGCCGCTAAGCTGTGCCACAGGCAGAACCCACCGGATGGCTGCCCGTCAGAGAATGTAGGGCAGCGGCTAGCCGTTGCGGGCATGGCTTGCTTAGCAACTGTGCTGGGATCGCTCAGTTTCTTCTTGGTGATCTAGACACACCCTACGGGGAGTCAAATCATTCAATCGTCTCAGCAAAGAACAATATCAGTGCACTGTTTCGCGTCGAAAGCTTCCCCATTCATGATGCCATGGACATAGCACTCGCCCACAAGCTGCCAGCACCCGTCAGGGGCAGATCGCAGCACAAACGGCACAGCTCCGCCCTTTAGTATTACGATATGGTCGCCAGCGAGAGCCCATGCTGGCGCTAGCCCAATGTATCCTTTTTCCGTCCGCACCATGGTCCGCCCGTCCGTAAAGTCGAATCGGCCGGCAAATCGCTTGGCCGCAGCAGGAGTCGTCGAAAGAAAGGCCTGAAGTATCCTGGATGCAATGAACAGTTTTGGGTGGTTGATATCAAACTCCATACGGGCAATAAGCTGGTCCAGTCGGTTCGCGTCTTGCCATGCGTAATACTCTTGTCGATTACTATCCTTCTCCGAGGGTGGGCATCCAGCGAGAAGCGTCTGCCAGAAAGCATCCTCGATGGGCTCACCATTCGCGTACACGTGCCATGCTGTCCCGTGGATTGGCACGCAATTTCCTTCCACTCAGCAACATGCTTGCGTGCCTCAATCGGAATTGCGCCATTCTGAGCATGGACTCATCTTGCTGGTCAGAAACCCTCAGCTTTGGAGCGCTGGGATGGCTCGAAACCGTCACGATGGTATCGCATAAGATACCCTCGAGGAGGAGACGCCCGGCCGTTCTCACAGCGGGTGATATCCTTCGGCCTTCATTGCGTTAGCTAAAGAAGCCATGGCCGGACAACAAGATTCTGCGACCCCTGCAAGCTTGTTGCAACATGTTCGTTGGGTTGGACGAAAGCCTTAATAGGGAGCTTGAATCGGGACGGTTTGTACTCTGTATAGTGTAGGCCCTACACTATAATCAAATCAAATTCAAATCAAATCAAGTAGAACCTTCCGAGTTTCAAATCAAATAGGCGCCTTCAACTATCTTTTAAATCAAACAGGTTTACTATTCAAGTTCAAATAGTTATACCATAAAATTAGTACCAATCAATAGATCTCAATAAGGCGAACACAACGCACTAATCTTTATCGAGATACAGCAATTTATAGTAGTTTAAAGTGGTTCTAAGTTAGCCTAGCGCGAAGAGTATTAACCTATAGACAGAAATATCCAATCGACCACTTAGACCAGTAGGCGCATAGGCGCAATTAAAGTACATATCTATCAATTGATTGGTTGTAGCCCAGCCAATGTCACTAGTGGAGCCCTGTAAGAAAGCTAAGCCTAATTTGGCTAGCGGTACGTAGCGCCCACTGGTCTGAGTTCTGAGATAACTACTAACTATGGCCCTGGTACACGCTTTCTCCTGGCGTTTTCCGGTCATAGCGACAGGGATCAAAGTGGGCAGGGACCCACCGAAATCAACGACCTCAGTCATAGTGACTCAGTTGATTCCTCCAACAGTCTGTACTCTGTCCACTTGCAACTCGATTTCCAGCATGTTCAGGTCACATCGCATACAGTAATGAGCTTACAGAACATGAAGATGTATGAGAAGGTGCCCAATCTATGATTTTTTGCCCGTTGGTCCTTACAGTGCAGTGGTTGTCGTACCCACCGCAGGGTCACGCTGGACGGAAGAAACTAACAGTCCACTCGCGCGAAAGGGCTGCAGGTTCCGTCGAACGGCCCTGGTCGAATCCGTCGCTGGGAGGATGTGGGCTCGGCTGACTCGGGGTAACTTTCGAGGCCAGCCGTCTGCGGCGGCCAAACCTACCCGTCTTCACGCGATCCGGATCCATCGAACGAGCCTTTGAGTTATTCGCGAATGGGGCGGCCGTTTGCTTCTGGATCTCGATGACAGCCGCAGGATTGGCTACACCCATCGTTGTGTTGCCTGAATCAGCCATGCTCCCATGGTCAACGAGATCGGCGGTGGGATTTCGCGTGTTTTCAAACGTTTCGGTGTTAAAAATCCCGTTGAACTTCGCTTGCCTCGGTGGTAAGCTGCACTCTCGCCAATGGATGAGAACGCTGAGATTGCAACGCATTGGCGACAAGCTTGTCACCGGAGCTGGGCAACAGAGCCCATCGGCCATCAGCAACATCGGGTTGGCTACCGCCCGAATGATCTTCGCGACTGCCTCCACCGCCACCGTTGTCGTTATCTTGCTTCCGGGCATACCACTTCCTGAAGAGCAGCTGGGCCCGGGTGCTTACCGAGCCGAGTAAGCCGTTGCCTTCGAGCGAGCTGACAACTGCCCTTGCAGTTGCAGGCAAGCTGTTCAAGAATTCATCGACCACTTCGGGTTTGACGGTCTCGATGTAACGAGCCTCGATCTTTTCCCGCTCATCGGGTGCCAACTCGAATTGGAGCAACGCGATGAGTGCCAGGTGACGCACTATGTGCGAGGGCAGCAGAAGTCGATCCGGATTGCCGTCCACCCAAGCCTCAATGTCGTGGAGGGTCTGGCTTATATTTCCGGACGCGCTACCGTTAAGAGCAAGAATTTGTCCAACCGCATCGTCGATTACTGGAAGCGCTACGCCCCGCGCTAGATACAGCTGCAGGATTTTCTCCGCCTCAGTGTGGCCCTTGGTCCGGAGCTTGTTGCCATGAATAGCCTCCGAGTGCCATGCCCACCAGCCAATGTTCCAGTGACGGGCTTTGTCCAATCCGGTCTCCCCGAGCGACTCGTCGACCCAGCATCTTTCGAGCATCATCGCAATAGTTGCGATGGAGCACCAATCCATATCCCTGTCACCATGCCCTTGGCATTGAACTTGGCTACTGCCTGGTTGTACGTGTTCTGGAGGTTGGCGTCATCCATCCTGCTGACGACCGGCGGCGGCAACGCGGGAGTCCCGTTGTTTTTCATCGCTGTCTTCCCGTTCTCCGAATCATGTTCTGTGGTGGGCGCCGCAGCCGCAGCCGCCTCTTTCTTCTCCCTAACCCTAGCGGCATAAGGTTCGTACTCGGGGCATGTGGTTCCATCGGGGCGTGGCTGGGTGTACTTCCGGTGAAACTCCTGGATAGTACCTCCAGTGCTAGAAACTGTTTGTCCAGTCGTTAACAGATTTAGATACCCCGATCATACAGGCAGTGCTACTTACAGTAATAGAGCCAGAGCGTAGCATCAAGCTTGCAATGCAGCTCGTCGGCAGAGAGAGTGTCATGGCCAAGATTTTCAAGCTCTGCTAACATTCCCGGCTCGACCTCTTCATCGAGCCTACCACCCACGGTACCGGCATCGATGTTCTGCCCTGACTGGATAATTTCCCGAATCACGGCGTCGCGGCGAGCCTGGGATGCAGCTGAGAGGGTTGACCGCCCCATAATGATTGTCGATCGGGCTGTAAGGGACAACATAACAATCGGCTTGAAAATACAAGAGTGACTAGGCCAGAACTCTTGGAAGGATAGTAATCAGAGATTCCTACACCTGGCTCGTAAATGGGATGAAATCTCCACTGAATTTGGCCAACACAAATCACTTTCCACCCCTCCCAGAATGATCAAGCAGAAAATTTACAATCCCACAATCCTAAAGAGAAGCGACCGACGACTTGGCAGCAAATCTACAAACTGCCATCTTCAAAAAGAACTCGGATCACTCCATACTATTTCGAACGAAGCACAGGCTCGACTGCTTTTCTCCTTCCTTTCTCCAAGACAAAAACAAAATGAGTTCTAGTTTCGCTGGTCAGAATGCTGGTGGTAGCGGCGGCGACGGCGACGACAGCAGCCCTAAACGCAAGGCGACCGACAACCCCGGCGATAGCCAAGGCAATGTCAAACGTACAGGTCATCTCGAAGGCCATCATGTCGGCCAGCTCCCGCTCTCCGCCTTCATTGCTCAGGCGGCTGCCTGTGCATCGCCATCCCAGCTTGTGTCACCGCCCATCGTCCCATATTCACTGCGATCTGAGCTGCGCGAAGCTTTTCGTGTCGAACTAAAAGCCTATCGACAACATTTCGAGGCAGCGACTGCCGCCATTATGGAGGAAATACGAACCCTCCAGGGTCGTGTTGAAGCCGGACGGGCTGAGCTGGCAATGTTGCAACTTGAGCGCGACATCGCCAAGGACGATGCCCATGCTTCTGGAGAGAGGGCACGCTATGCAGAGGAGCAGGTTCGAGTTTTGGATGACAAGCTCCGTACCGCAGACGCAAAGCTCCGAGCCGCAGGGGAAAGGCTCGGGGCCTCCGAAGACGGCGAAAAGAAGCTCCAGGAGAAGCTGCAGGTCTCCCAAGAGAAGTTGCGGGCCACCGAAGAGAAGCTTCGGGCCTCCGAAGAGATTTACAAGAAAAAAGCCATGCTCGCCGAAGAGGAGACCAGGGTTGCAAAAGAGGAGACCAGAGTGGCAAAGAACGAGACTAGGGTCGCAATGGAGAAAGCCAGGGTCGCTGAAGGAGATACCCTAACCCTCAAACTTGAAGCTCAGAAGGCTGATGTCCTCCTTTCGGAATCCGCTGAGCTTGTCGAGGGGTTCAAGGACCAGATCAAGACGCTGAAAGAGGCTCGGGAATCTGGGCTGAACGCGCAGTCCGCTGCTGAGAAAAGGATGCGGGGCGCCCAGGATAGGGCGAGGGCAGCCAAGGAGCAGCTCGAGTCATCCAAGTCCGAGATCTTGGACCTTAGAAGCCAGCTACAGGCCGCCAAAGTGGCTTGCCATGCTACCGAGAGGCAACTTGGGGGTGAGATCCAATCTCTCAAAAGGACGTTAAACAGGGTGGAATCCGAGGCCGATGGCTATCGTGATGAACTGCGGAAGATGGTGGCTATGAACGATTCGCTAAAAACATCTTTGGAGGAACAGAAGAAGCGAGCCAAGGAATTCGCTTTACCTCCAGAGATGCTGGACGACTCAGACATGTTCCGTAGGCCAACGCCCAAGCGCCCAAGGCGGGACATCTCGCTGGAAGTCCATCCTTCATGGAAATCGTTTGCGATTTTGCTTTACCATAACCTCATGGACATTCCCGTCAGTCCAAATGGCGAATACTCCGATAAAGAGATTGAAGCGCATATCCTCGAGGCGGCAGCGTCGGAGCAGGCAATGCAGCGCCTGTTGGAGCTCTGCAAGGCACCGCCCTGGCGGGTCGATGGAAAGTGGTACTGTTTCCGCACAGCCGTGCTTAATGGCACCTGGAAGAGCTGTCCGAGCCACCCGGTCCCTACTCCCTGCACCCGTCACTCAAACTGTCTGCAGATTATGCGACAGCCAAGTGGCCACGTTACCTTCAAAGTAGTTAAAGATAGCGCTTAGCAGGTGGGTGATTTATTGAATCGAACTTGGTGACTCTGCAGTCAAGGAGCGAGCTAACAATTGGCACCTACCACTTGACTAACTCACTCCACGTTCTAGGAATTGGGGCTGAAAGTAAGAGAGGAATCAGGCTATCTCGTATGTTCTACGCGAAGGTCCATGGTTCGAATGGAAGATGTGACTCTTTGGTAGCGGCACTTAAGAATTTCTATCTAGCATATCACTGCGTTGATTGCAAAGGAAATGTCGGCATATCCCAAGGATTAGTTATCACATAAAAAGAGACTGAGCCCCATGGGGTGCAAGGTGCAAACCAAATAAGTTCATTAGGCACTTAGTCAAGCAATCCTGTGTGACTAGTCATTTCTATATGTAAGCGCCCAAAGATCCGGAACTTTTATTTCGCCCGTGGGCCAGCCCGGTATTATAAGTCCAGCATACGGGGGTTCATCGGGGAACCAAGGCCTGATGAAGGCGGATGTGCATGCCCATATGACCCGTCGTGAGATGTCAAATATGAAGTATTCCCTGCATTCCCTGAACCGTGGGCTACGCAGAAGGCCGATGCCAAAATCCTCGTAAAACTTGCCCTCCTCCCAGTCCTCGCAGTAAGCGGGGATTGTATCTGCATCGATCGCGAGAGTCAAATCAATGCACCAGGAGGAGTGTTTCATGAGCTCGTCTCGGAGCCGCATGCACTGCGCCTCGAACCTTGACTCCTGGGGAAAGGCGTTCTCGAGCAATTTTGCTGTCTGCCAGGCAAGCAACAACAAGATGTTGTCCGAGTTATCCCGGACGCCGGCGGTCACGGTCTCCAAAACCAGCAGGAGTGAAGAGATCGGTACGGGTCCATCCGCCAGCTCGTCAGCCAGAAGGCTCATCAGTGCCAATGCTCTGTTATCCCAGATCCCGGCGTTGAGTACGGCAGCCAAGTGCAAGCAGAGGAGCAGAGGGCCGCGCGCCACGGGGCTGCATTGCTCGAGCCCTGGGTTCTGGTATATCTTCCAGATGGCCCGAGGCACGGGTTCGCGAGAAAGCGGCGTAAGGTCTTGAGCCGCCTGCAATGTTTCCAGCCATTTGTGTGGGGTCAGTTCGATCCCGGTCAAGTTGGCACAGAACGTGGTGGCGATTCTGCGTTCGTCGGCGATCGTGCGCTCTGCTTCCTCGCACCGCCGACGCAAATCCTCGACCTCTGCTGTCTTCTGCTGAGGTTGGCTGGCAAGATCAGCGGCCGTTTCACGCAAGTCGCTCAAAATTTGGTCCATCTCTTGGTGTTGCCGGCCGACATCCTCAGCCTTGGCCGTCATCTGTCGCAGCAAATCCTCAGCCGTTGCCACCTTTTGCTGTAGCTGGCTAGCAAGAGTGGCGGATTTGTTATGCTCGTCGCCGAGGTTTTGTTCCATTTTGTGGTACTGACGGCGCAATTTCTTGATCTCAGGTATCTTAAGTTCTGGTGCAGCCGGACTGTGAAAGGCAATGGAAGAATGTGGCGGTCTTTCGTAGTTGGAAACGGGCCTCGGTCAGTTCCAGAGTCTCGATCGGGAAATGTCAATGTCTGATTCACGAGATGCGATGGGTGTTGAGAATTTTAGTCAACAGAAAGCCTCGTAAAATCCTTGGTTTGCTCAATGTCTGGAAGAGTGAAGGGAAAGAGAAAGGTTGGTTAGCTGTCACAGGGTAAAGCACGCAACTTCACTCGCAGCTGTAGGTAATGTACCTACCTGAGGTAAGTTGCCTTGTCCTTGCTGCTAGTGATGCGCCTTTACTTTGAGCTTGGAGGACGAGATTGGAACCGTTGGTAAAATATGCCCAGACAGAACAAGACTCCAATGACTCTGGCAAAGAGTTGCGAAACCTAAATGCTTAACGTTAACATGAAAGTCGAAGTTGGGATGGAAATTTCGCTTGATTCTGCCAACAGAATCCGCTTCCTGACCTCGACTGACCAGGAAATTCTGCGACGCGTATAGTAAGGGAGTTCTCCCCTTTCTCCTTCCCAAGAAGTAGAAGCAAGAAGAGAATTTGGCTCGCCCAACCCTTCCCTTACCATCACCAACTTAAACTGTGATCAAGACCACCGGCAACAGGAATCGTGCGCAACCACCATCTGAGTCTTCAAACTTGACCACAGCGAGCAGGTTTTAGCGAGTCACAAACCGAAGCTGATTGTAAATAAATCACCTACCCTTTCCCACACACTCTGAGCGCACTTGAGGAACAGTCAAATCTGGAGTCTAACCGGGCACTATCCACACCAGGGATCGCATCGCAAGCCTCCCTCAACCATCATCCGCATCGACCTTCACCTGAACTTTGATTGATTACAAAAATGGAAGAAAAACAGCTGGCCGAGTTTTTTTTTTTTATTTTTTTTTTTTTAGGGTTGCTGTTTGTTCAGTCCGCACTGGCGACCGCATGGCTCACCAACCTGCTCTACATTCCCGACACGTGAAACCAGGACGAGTCGAAGGGGAACATCAGGTTAGCAATCTGTTTTGCGAACATTGACGATATTGTCATCGACGATGAAAAGGAAGCCATATATCTTGATGGTCTGGAGATTCGTGGTGACCTGCCTGGCGCGTGTGCCTTCGCGCTGGACATAATCAAGCACAGCAACGACGGGGCACTGGACGCCTATTGCACCACGATCATCGACGGTCGGGTCTTGGCCTCAGTGTATCGAGCAGCTGAGGAAGACATTGACCTTTACCGGAACGACTTCCGTGGGCCTCTCGCTAGCTTCTATGGACATCACGCAAGGGTTATCTAGAATTTCCGATAGAACAATTTAACTTTGTTCAATCAAAACGTATCTTACGCGAAACTGAGGTAACGTACTTGCATAGCGAGCGGCCGAGCATAGCGAGTGGCCCACTTTTCTCTGACCTCGATTACTTTGTATAAGTCAGTTCTACCAAAACGCCATTCATTAATTAAAATTACTAAGAATCGTTATCCTCAGACGTCTCACTAACTACTTGACAAGTTCGCGCATTATGGCCGGGCTGCTTGCAGTTGCTACAAAGCCGAACGTGTGGCTTAGCGACGGTTATACAACCACCACTCGTGGACGTTTCCTCGCAATCCTGACCACCAAGTCCCCGGTCGCCTATCAAAACCGTCGCCTCTTGCAAACTAAGTGATCCTCTGTCCTGCAAACGCGTTTTTCTGGTTCTGCGTCGCTTGCTTAGCCGCTCATTTGCCGTACGAAGCTCTTTGGTCTCGGCTCGGAGCAACACCATCTCATGCGCAAATTTCGAGATGCTCTTCGCTTGCAAGTCGATAATGTCAAAAATATGGGTGGGGGAGCTACCTTGATGGTGTTGAATTTTCCGCTTAAGTGTGCTGGAACTCAGTGTCGCTTCGTGCGCATTGGAGGGTGTCTTGGGGACCCAAGATGTGGCTGCTCCGGGACGCGAGCTCGGAGGAGATGGGGTGATTGGCTTAGGGTCGAGGCGAGAAATTACCGATTCAGGGTCGAAAGAAACGAGGCCGGCTACTCTGAAGCCTGCTCGTACGTTGTTCGCCGTAACAGAGGCGTTGAATGCCTTGACAAACG